TTTTTTTTTTTTTGCGGGGGGGTCTGGAGCCGGCGTTGGGGGTGCCCACCCCCGGAACCCCGGAACCCCGCCGGGGCCCCGGGGCCGGGGCTCGACAACCCTGTCTATAACTACTATAAGCAGAATCGAGAGGAGGGCATGTATCTAGTCTTTGTCTCTGAGAAAGGGGAGGCCGTTAAAACACCCCTAGAGATAGAAAGAGTCGTCGCACAATATTCAGACCTTTTTTAGGAGCCCACAGGCGTGGTGGAAAGGGAGGTTGTACATGTGATAGAGATTGTCCCAGGTAGCAAGGTGCCTAGAGGACGAATCTATAGGATGTCTCCCGCGGAGTTAGATGAGCTTCGCCGCCAACTCAAGGAGCTCACAGAGAAGGGATGGATATGGCCTAGTACCTCCCCTTACGGAGCGCCAGTCTTATTTGTCCCAAAGAAGGGAGGTCCATTAAGGATGTGCATTGACTATAGGGGCCTCAATGCCATCACCGTTTAAAACGCGGAGCCCCTACCCCGCATTGACGACCTCTTGGATAGAGTGCAGGGATGTCGGTACTTCACAAAGATAGATCTGAAGTCCGGATACCATCAAATTGCCGTTAGACCTGAGGACCAGCACAAAACCGCATTCCAGACCAAGTACGGTCTGTACAAGTTTGTGGTGATGCCTTTTGGCCTATGCAATGCGCCTGGTACATTTCAGCACGCGATGAACCGGATATTTCATGAGTACTTGGACAAGTTTATCGTCATGTACCTCGACGATATTCTTATCTTTAGTAGGACTGTAGAGGAGCACGCTGAGCACTTGAAAACAGTGTTAGGTCTCCTAAGACAGCACCAGTACAAGGTAAACTTGGATAAATGCGAGTTTGGTCGCACCAAGATCTTGTACTTGGGTCATGAAATTTCAGCAGATGGATTGAGGCCGGAAGATGCGAAGGTGGCCGCATACGTGACTGGCCCAGACCTCAGATTGTTACTGAGGTCAGATCGTTTTTTGGGATGACGGGCTACTATCGTCCGTTTGTGAAGAACTATAGTACTATAGCTTCCCCATTAACAGACCTAACTCGACTTGACACCCCTTGGGAGTGGACTGAAGAGTGTGAAGCAAACTTCAAGAAATTGAAGTATGCTCTGACACACTACGAAGTTCTCAAACTTCCGGATCCTGACAAGCCATTCATTGTGACCACAGACGCTAGCCAATATGGCATAGGCGCGGTCCTTGCGCAACAGGAAGGGCCCAAGTTGAGACCGATCGAGTATATGAGCAAGAAGATGTCATCTCAAAAGTTAGCTAAGTCCACGTATGAGAGAGAGCTCTACGCCCTATACAGAGCGCTATTACATTGGAGACACTACCTCCTAGGAAGATTCTTCTATGCGAGGTCTGACCATGAGACTTTGCGCTGGATTAAGACACAACCTGTGTTGTCGGACACACTCAAGAGATGGATTCAAGTGATAGACATGTATGACTATCAACTTGATCCTATCAAGGGTACGTATAACAAAGTGGCTGATGCACTATCACGAAGGGCAGATTATCTGGGCACGCTAGTCACGGAGTTTGACATATCTGACGAACTCACTCGATCGCTGGTGGAAGCCTATCAGGGAGACCCAGTCATGTCAGAAATCATCCGTAGATTCCAAACAAAGGACAAGAAGACTTTGGATGAATTTACGATGGTAGATGGCTCGTTGTTCCTTGAGAAGGCAGGGAATAAAAGACTATGTGTTGCTAATAGTGAGTCTTTGCGTAGTTTATTTTTAGGAGAATGTCATGATGCAACTGGTCATTTTGGCTATAGAAAGACATCAGCGAACTTAGTGCAGAGATTTTGGTGGTCTTCTATGTTGGAAGATGCAAAACGTTATGTTGAAACCTGCCAGGTCTGTCAAAGGGACAAACCAAGGACTCAGGCTCCGCTAGGGTTGATCAAACCCTTGCAGATCCCTGAAGGACCAGGCCAGAGTGTGTCCATGGATTTCATGGATACCCTTGTGACCAGAAGGTCAGGAAAGAGACACATATTTGTCATAGTGGACCGTTTTACCAAGTACGCCAGATTGATCGCTATGCCTGAAACTGCTAGAACTGACTTCGTCATCAAACTTTTCATGGACAACTGGGTAAGAGACTTCGGTCTACCTACATTGATTGTGAATGACAGGGATGTCAGATTCACGAGCGAACTGTGGCAGTCTACTGCTGAGCAATTAGGCACAAAACTCCAAATGACTTTAGGAAATCATCCTGAGTCAAATGGTCAAGCCAAGCAAATGAACCGAGTAGTACAACACCTACTTAGGCATTATATCAAGCCAAGTCAGGATGACTGGGACGAGAAACTACCTCTCGTCGCCAGCCTGTACAATAACGTTGTGCATAATACTACTGGCATGACTCCCAACCAACTGCATCTTGGTTGGAAACCCCGAACTTCTCTTGATTTCCTGCTACCGGAAAGGGAACCCACTGCAGCACCTGGCAGCATAGAGTTTGCTGTCAAATATGAACAGATGCTGCAGCAGGCTGTTGAACATATTAGGAAGTCTCAAGAAGCAATAATTGCATCTAAGAATAGACATAGACGGCCTTCTAACTTTCAGGTAGGCGAGAGAGTCTGGATTAAATCTGTTGAACTTGGCCAGGAGTTAGGCGCTAATGCCAGTTTACTTTGGGCCCTGGGAGATCTTAGACATTGTAGGAGATCAACTGGATGGGCCTTCATATGTGATCCGCATCCCACCTCACTTGCGTACCTACCCTGTGTTCCATGCCTCTAAGTTAGCACGCTTTGCTGCTACTGAGCAGTTCCCTTCCAGAAGATCAATGCTGCCCCCAACCCTGGATGGCGAAGTGGACATTGACCAGATTGTCGAGCATCAAGTGATGCCTGTTCCTCGACCATCAGGCAGAGGGCGACCTCCTAAACCAAGAATGCAGTATCGTGTGAGCTTCAGACATCATCTGGATCCTAAAGAAGACCGGTGGTTCACACAAGAAGAACTCATGAGAACAGCACCTCAAGTGATCGCAGGCTATGAAAGAGCACTAAAGGGGAAGATGCCTGCAGAATAAGAGACTTCTCAAAGGACTCACGAAGTAAAGGAGGAGGGAATGCGAGGATCAGGGTCCTCGGTAGGCCTATGGGGCCCTGTTTGCAGCACCACCCGCCCTAAGTGAAGGCGGAGGTGCCCGCCCTAAGTGAAGGCGGGCCTGGCTTTTTGCAAGAGGCCCTCGACTGTCAATTTCATATTTGGGGTCCAGGCAGTTGCGACGCGCCAGTTGGTTGAAAGAAACACAGGCCGAGCAACAAAGACATTTCCACGGCCTTCCGGGCCTTCCGGGCCTTTCCAAAGAACGCAGGCCCTGGGCGTGATTCGCAGCCTCATACAGAAACAGTTGGGCGCCCAACCGAACTAGGCCCAGCAGCCCAGTAGCTGCTGCATCCAGGCAGCCTCCTGGGGCCTTCCGGAAGCTTCTGGGCCCAGGCCAGCCCAGCCAGGCTGCGCGAGCAGGCCAGTTCTTTCCATAAAGGAAAGAGCTCTGGCCAGACAGCCTCATTCAGGCACTCGCATGCTGGCGGCAGCGCTGCTGGAGCAAGAGCTCGCGGCTGCTGGCTGGCGCTGAGAGGCGAGGTGCAGCACGTGCGGTCGTGCAGGAAAGAAGGGCGCTGCTGAGGGCAGCGCCATAGCCCAGCCACCATAGCTGGTGGGCTTGGACTACAATGAGGCGCAGGGGTGGTCTTCGGGTGAAACAAAGGACAAACGTGGGTGTAGTCAGGGGATAGGTGAAGGATGATGATGATGATGATGTGAGGGCACTTACCTTGTATTGGCGATGGTCTGCATGGGCGACATCTTCAAGTACTTCGGGCTGCCGCTGATGTCAACAGTTGCATTGTCATTTCGTAGTCTGTAGTAGCTGTGTAGGAGAAGGTTGGGCGTTGAGCGCCAATTGAGAGTGTGAAGGAACTGGACTCTTGTGTTGAGAGGAGAGAGTATGCTCTCCATGAACATTGGTTTTCAGTGCTACGAACCTCAATTGGTGTATTATTGGTGCAATGCTGCTCTCTGGACACGGTGCGACTATCTTGGCTTTCAATGTGATGGTGTGAACTGGAATTGTCATCTCGCTGTTGCTTATTTCCCACATAGCATTGTCCGTGAAATGCCTCACTAATAACAGATCGACAGATATAAAAAAAAA